TAATCTACGGGTGGACAGCTATCAACGAAGTAGAAGTTGATAATGACAGGGAGAGTGTTTTAGATGTTAAATTTTGAACTGGGTGCAGTGTGACAGCGACGTGAGTGTTATACACCTGATGATGGCCGTCTGAGGCCGAAACATGTAGTGTAGGGAGCAAGATCAAAGACACAAGAATATATTGTTTGCACTTGAGACGGAGGTTATATCATTTATCGTATGGAGTGCAACAGGATGCTTAAATATAATATGGTAATGTATGGGTTGACATTTTTAGTCATTTAGTCTAATCTTGGAGCTGATATCCTGGGTTAATTTTCCTGTTATTTCTCAGTACCTCCATCGCCACCATTTCATAAGGATCGTTGTGGTGAACGTGAAGCAGAACCGCTTAGCACTCCGACAGTGCTTTGTCTCGCTCAACTGTAGCCATGGCAACCGCTTCCTTCACCAACACATGATTGATTACATGACTCCACAGTTCCTTACTTTCACGGTGAATAAAATTCTGACTAAAGTACTGAAGTTCATAGTTCGAATCTCTTATCCTGTTATTGTCACGTGATTTTCGTCTCGCCGGAAAGTCACATGATTATATTTTTATTTCCACACTGTCGTCTACAACAGATAAAGTTACGATTAACTGTGGAAGAATCTGGAAGATGCGTCTCACGACGCTGAGTTTCATTGCCAAGTCGAAAGTAGAAAGGTATGCAGGAAACATATAAACTTAATCTGAATGGTTTTCTTTTTCTTTTAAGCCGCTCATTGGTCTGTTTCTTTCTAACGGTTGTGCCTTTATAAGTTGAACCAGACTGACGCAGGAAATCAGAATGACTGTGCTCGGAGTGGCTTCGGAATCCTGTCTGGACTTTATACACAGACTATATGAGACGTGTATAGCATAATTACATCATGCGGCGGTTGCTTGTTTATGCTGCACGTTTGACGCATGTGTCGGAGAAGTTGCCGTCCTTCACGGCGAACAGTCCATACGTTCTTACCGTGAAGCTCAGTACTATAAAGCAATTCATTGCCTTCAGCCTGCGATTCCAGATAAATACCGTATTTACGCATGTATAGGCCGCACATTTTTTGCCAAAAATTCAAGAGGAAAACTTGGGTGCGGCTTATATTCGAAATCACACTTCATTTAAAAAAAATGATATTCATCATTAGTAATACAGGGTGTTCTACTCCTGAAATAATATTCCAAGAAAATTAATTTTTCTATAATTTCTGTCCGAAAATTGTGCTGCGGCCTATACACGCACGCGGCCTATACATGCGTAAATACAGTACTTACTTATAGAGCTGAGCCCTTCTTGAGGAGGAGTTTGACAAGAACCAAAGAGGGGCCTCGCTCATGTTTCCGAATGCCAAGCCACGCGGACGTTACCACAATTAGGCTATATGACAAATAATTTTCACTTTTAAAACTGGACCAGCCGCCTTACGTCTTGGTATTTTGGTGAGTGATGAAAGCATTTCTACCTTAACCCAATGTAACTATTAGGTTTATTACTGCCGGACGGCTAAATACGTTAACTTTGGCAGTCAGTGACTTAACAGACACTAATAACTAATGGTCAGCAATGATCTGAATCTCATCGGTGTTCCCTAGTTCGATTGCCTATCGTGATAATTGATGCCAGCGGTACTTTGTTAATGCACGCCATTGTTCGTTACAATTTAAAAGGCAGTTGTCTTCTGCCAATGTGAAGTTATCTGTTCCATTTAAATGCCAGTAATGATTGGTACTGAGGTTACTTTAACATTTCATATATGTAATATGTTTCTTTTAAATTTTTACAAAATTTGACACTTTCTTTTTTATTATTTTTCATTTCCTCTTTCCATGCCAGCCACATCTACAGATGATCTGATATTGTTTCCTTGTTATTTTTGTATGCGGGTCTTCTGTCTAACGCAAGAGGAAGTTTCTTTCTTGATGCCCTGATTTTCTACCGCCCATTTCAGGTAATCGAAGTAACCAGTTGCTTATACAGAGCCCTATTGTCAGTCTGCATGTCCGTCTGCCTTTACCCGGTTTCGGTTTCGAAAACCATTTCTGTTTGCAGTAATTGACATATTTTCACATTAAGTGATAATTCTGTTTTCATATTTAATCCTGTGACAGCAACAGTACCGATGTGGCGGCCGTTGTCACTTCTCAGGTGGAAGCCATAATTACGTCATCGAGTGTAGAGCTGTAACATCCTTCATGGCGACAGCCTGTCTCTTATACAGCATAAGTTATTCAAAAAGAGAACGGACAGAAACATGATGACCGCGGGACATTTTATTTGATTGAATACTATAACTCGATGCGTGGTATTTATTTAGTACCATAATGTAAACACATATATAAAAATCATGATTGAAATCCTATCTTGTTGAAAACGCAGACTGGGTTCACTTCAAGTCCACTCCTTATCTCGTGAAGCGTTAGTCTTTGGAAAGAAAATGTCACGCTGAAATGTGAAGTTGCTTAGATGCGACGGAATGGAAAGTGGAAGTAGCAATTGCTGTTGTTACATTCACTTTTGGTTCCAGTCTGATATAAGTCGTTGTCATCTGTCTACAATCGAACGTGATGTACTTATTTTAGGTGCAGGAAACGGAAGTGGAGGACAGACCTTCCTGCAACGAGCGTCATCATCACGTACCACAACGAAGCGAGATCTACGCTTCTCAGAACCGTCGTCAGGTTAGTGCTGAACGTATTACAGCGTGCGTATTGCAAACAGGTAAGACTCCAAATCACTGCAGGAAATGAGTTTTGATGAATAATGTCAATATCCACGATGTTGCAGGATGTAACAATCATGTTAATCTTGAAAACACTATAGTTTGTAAATAATACCACCTGTGATGGTGGTTTCCTATTTGTAGTGATGTTTGTCCTCTGAAGATGGTCCACAGAGACCGAAACATGTAAGGGTCTTAAGTTTTCATGTAGTAAAAAACTTACAGGTCACATTGGACGGAGTGATTTATATTTGTAATTGTTAGTGTGACGGACCAGAATGAAACAAATCAAAAAAATACCTGAAAGGTTGTGACAGTGGTATATTAATACAATACTTGCACTATAGCTTATGTTGAAAACATCCTTCCACTAATTACGGCAGTAATGAAGCATAACACATACAGTAGCCATGAGGAGCACAGCGGAATTGTCATCAGGCTAGCCTTAACACTATGGACTTATTTGCAAACAATCAGATTCCTAATCAACGCACGTAAGAGGTTTAATAACTATAGCTGTGAGGCGCCAGGTGGATGAGGCGGTTAGAATTGAAAACGCTATAGCTTGCATTTCAGTCTGACAACAAAATACTGCACTAGAAATATCTTTCCCCAGGAGCGCAGTGGATGTCATAAGATTCGTCGTTTAGACTCTGTTGTGATGCTGGTTCTCAGGAGCTGGAAGTTATAGTTGTCTGACACAGCTAGTCTTCAGTTGTGTTGTAAAATCAGGCCCCTAGCCACTGCATCAGAGACAGGTTTAACAGGTACATTAACTATTAGGATCCGATGAAACATCCGCCAGGTTAGTTTTGAAAACATTCTCTCGTGATGCAAATAGTCACTGTGCTAAGTGAGGCTTAACAATACTGTTGCCGTGCACTGAAGAGCAAGATGAGTCAGTCGGCAGGGTATAAATCCAGGAATACATCAGAAAAATTGCTTTGCACCTGTCATGTATACACATGATTACACAGTCTGTTCGTGGTTTCAGAGCTACGCATGTAAATATTAAGTATTAATAATGATAATAAAAACTCCATGGCCTTCAGTCCGAAGCGAACTATGCCGACCGAGCGACCCCCGCTTGTCGGCGAAGTTTGTGCCAACTTTAGCGGATAGAGGATGTTCTGTGGTCAGCTCAACGAATCCCCACTGCCGTTAATTTCGTTTTTCTAGACCGGAGCCGCTATATCCTTGAAATAGCTCCTCAATTATCCTCACGAGACTAAGTGGACCCCGTTCCAGACCCACTACTTCTCAGAAAATCTGGTAGCGCCGGGAATCTAACCCGGTCCTCTGGATCTGTAGCCAGGAACTCTGACCACTAGACCATAGAGGCGGTCAATAATAATAATAATAATAATCGCGGTAATAATTATTATGTTGTTATAATCACTATCATAACCTGCCCTTTGATTTTCCTTTCTTTTTTTATAATTATTACAATTAAAGTCGGCTCGTAGTCCACAGTCTTCTGCATGCCACACGGCATCATACATTGTCTTATTTTCTTCTATACGAATGAGCAGCTCTGGTTTCGAGCACCGCTGAATGTAGAACCTTGTAGGAGAATCGGGTTCTTCGACATATTAGGCCTACCATTCGTTTACATTGTCAGAAATATTGAAATTTCTGATCCGAGAAGCATAGAACATGTCAGTTGCATTATGTAAAGGAAATGCGCTTAGTAGAGCACGTTTTCGGTTTCCTCTTAGAATTCTTTGCATATAATTTTGTTGCCATTTATAGTTACGACCAATGTTTTTAAAGTGGATGTTGAATTTATGTATATAAATCATGCAATAAAATGTTCGATAGAAATATGGCGCCATTATCATTATTCTTCACTGAAATAAAGTGGCATGGTATAAAAATTTTAAGTAACGTCAATAAGAATCCCAAGAACCGGAAGTGGCTCAGTTGGTATGGTCACTGTGACAAAGATATAAGGCATGACTGAACAGTTGCTAAGGTACAGAATTACAAAAGGATTCCAATTCAGAACTCCGTTTGCAGTTAAATAAACCTGAAATGAAGACTAGCCTAAATTTCAGTAAGGAAAGTTCCTCTGTACAGTTGTAATGACTCTGCCGCTATGGTTTGATATTCCCGAAACAGATAGTGGCATTTTCTATAAACCCGAAGTAATAAAAGCTGCAGTCCTAGCGAATTTTAGGATAGGACATTAAATCAGACCACGCAATTTTCATTTCCTCAATCATAATCATAGTACCGTTTCTGTTCTGATATTAGAGAACTCAGGGAGGTCAAAGAAAAACGTTAAGTAGACTGGGAAATCTGGTCTTCGAGCTGTCAGATCCCTGCTGGGTTCTTAGTTTTCAACACTGAGTGAAAATTGTGCACGGACCACAATCGGAACACCCTGAATATGAGCGGAAATAACTCTTAACAATCCACATGACTGCGGAGAAATTTCCTCAAAATGTCTTCTTCTGCACATCCAGGAATATACAGTATTGTCTGTTTAATATCCATTGGCCAATGAACATTTATTCTTTTCTGAGCCTGTGATTCAGTATGGCTCTAGGCATTGTCTTAACTAAGATCTAATAGTTTGTGACGATGGTAAATTGCTACAAGTAATATGTTTTAACTGTTCGCCACAATCTGTGTATGTCTGTAGGCTTGCATCCTTTCGTTTAAAAGCAGTATTTACGAGTATAATGCCTCTCTCGTTTCTTCATTACGAATTGTATCCTAAAATTGTTAGATGTTTCAACGGAAGGCCGGGCGATGCTGCTTTCTGAATAACTCTGGGAGAGAAGATGAAGAAAACTACACTCAGACGGTATGTAGGCCTGCTCATGGCTGGAATTCCGTAACATTGTTGCAGAAAGGAATCTTCACTTTGTGAAAGGAGTGTATAGGACGTGGAAAGCGTTTTTGCCGCTTTCGCAACGTAAAGTTACAAGAACGCGCCATGTTTGCCTGTCTGCCCACATGTAACAGAGAATGTAGAGCTTTTCATGAAATTGGGGGAATTCTATTGAAATTTGGCGACACCCTTTAGTTTTGGTTAAAATCGGACAACGACAACAGACACTTTACGCTGCGTGAGCTCCCTGCGACATCCCGAGCGTAACTCGCAGAATATTTATCGAAGCGAAACAAGTTTCGAACAAGAGTTGTAGAGAAAAATGTAGTGCACATTTTATGCGCTGTACGATTTTTCTCGGTAAGTCTTGCTTCTTTCGAGTGAAACAAAAGTGATTAACGGATCTAGAATTGTTACACCATGCATACACTTCCTAGCTCGTTAGAATTATAAATGTATAAACGTTACCTAATTTCTTCTGAAAAAAATTGGCCTCGTTAACGCGCCGTTGCTATACGTACGAATGAAATGTTTTCTTGCTAGTTGGCTTCTGCATGGCACCGAAGTTGCCCCATGGGAGCGGCCAGTAGATAATAGCCGATGTGTATGATTCCATTGTTACTGCTAAGAGGCACTTACTTACTTACTTACTCACTCACTCGTGGAGCTAAGCCCTTGTTGAGGAGCCGCCAAATTCTCCAGCTACACAAGAATTTCCCAGAATTTTATGAAACCGGAAGGTTCATTACTGTGTTCACAAGAGCCCTCCACTGGTCCCTATCCTCAGCCAGAGCAGTCAAATCCATACCATACCATCCCGTCTCACTTTAAGATCAATTTTAATATTGACCACCCACCTACGCTTTGGTCTTCCCAGTGGTCTCTTTCCTTCTGGCTTTCTCACCAATATCCTATATGCATTCCTCTTCTCCCCCGTTCGTGCTACATGTCATGCCCATCTCATCCTCCTTGACTTGATCATTCTAATTATACTTGGAGAAGAGTGCTCCTCATTATGCTGTTTTCTCCAACCTCCTGTAACTTCCTCTCTCGTTTCAATCCAAATATTCTCCTCAACACCCTGTCCTCAAACACCCTCAGTCTATGTTCCTCCCTTAATGTCAGGGACCAAGTTTCACACCCATACAGAACCACAGGCAGAATTATATTTTTGTATATTCTAATTCTTATGTTTTTGGACAGCAGGCAGGAAGACAAAAGGCTCTCTCTACTCTCGATAATATGGAGTAATAAGTAAATTTATTCTAAGTCGGTGTCTTGAGTAGAGAAGTCATCCACTGATGATGCAGTTGTCACAGACTCGAATATTAAAAAGTGCTTCTGTAATTATCCATTTATACGAGTATGATCTGAATTTTGCTCTTGAGCTTAAATTGGCCTTATGCGCTTTCTCAAACCTCCAGCTGCTGCTTCAAATAAAGGAAATCAATGCCGAAAAGATAAATGTAGCAATCAGAGGACGGAGCATTTTCGCCACATGTTACACTCACAGAATCCTGGCGGCTTTGATTTGCGTAATGATGTCATATAACCTTTGGCAGGTACAGATTGCTTCTGTGTACTACACTGTCCATGTGATTGTAGTTCGTATGGTCTGAGAACTTAGGAACGGGGGCAGAACGTTGTACAGACAACAATCATATTGTAGCGTATAGACCCATTGCTGAGCAGAGACCTCGAAACGGATGAGTACGACCGTTGCTGTGCAATGAGCGGATAAACAAATACCCGTTTCTAAGCAACGGCTTGGTAAACAGCTCAGTACAGTGAAGTGACGTGAAGTAGCTTTTTGGCGAGTGAGAGTTCAGTTGTCAGTTGTCAGTTGAAAGTCAGCCCGTGAAGAGAAGACTAGGAGATTTGTGTGAAATGGCCGCTAGCCTGGGAGCCAATGATCTGAGTTGTCGGTTGACAAGAGTTCTGCACGGGCGGCTATGACAAGAGGACCTGAGCGTGAGAAACTGAAGGATCTCCGTCGGTAGAAGCCGTTGCCAGGAAACGGCTAGTAGAGACTGTAATAGACTAAGGACACTAGTCTCTGTGTGCCAGTGATCTGTAAAGTGTAGTGGAGACTGTAACGGACTGAGGACACTAGTCTTTGTGTGCCAGTGATCTGTAAAGTGTAGTGGAGACTGTAATGGACTGAGGACCCTAGCCTGTGTGTGTCAGTGATCTGTAAAGTGTAGTGGAGACTGTAATAGACTGAGGACACTAGTCTCTGTGTGCCAGTGATCTGTAGAGTGTAGTGGAGACTGTAAGAGACTGAGGACACTAGTGTCTGTGTAACAGTGATCTGTAGAGTGCAGTGGAGACTGTAATAGACTGAGGACACTAATCTGTGTGTGCCAGTGATCTGTAAAGTGTGATGTATAGAAGTGGTCAGTAAATCCAATATCCAATCTGTACCCCATCTATAGTTAGACACCCCTAAATATGTGACAGTACCTTCCAGGGGACTTCATTGTTGTTCATTATATTCGTCAGTAATAAGCCGCCCATTATATAATGATGAATTCTTCTGATGAGAAATAATTAATTTTGTAATATGCCCCATGGAAATATTTTTATGACATCTGTAACTTTGTGGGGACCGCCTCTGTGGTGTAGTGGTCAGCGTTCCTGGCTACAGATCCGGAGGTCCGGGTTCGATTCCCGGAGCTACCAGATGTTTACTGAGAAGTAGTGGGTCTGGAACGGGTAGCACTCGGCCTCGTGTTGATAATTGAGGAGCTATTTCAAGGGAATAGCGGCTGCGGTCTAGAAAACCGAAATTAACGGCCGTGGGGATTCGTTGCCCTGACCACGCGACATCCTCTATCCGCAAAAGTTGGCACTAAACTTAGCCGAAAAGCGGCGTTCGCTCGGTCGGTATAGTTCGCTTGCGTACTAAAATCACGGAGTAACTTTGTGGGAATGACTGAGAAAACCTCTGAGAAGGGAATTATTTATTCATTAGGTTGATTGTAATGATGAATAAGACGTGAGTTTGCATATCTGGTATATCATAATTTAATTAATAACACAGTCATGTAACGACAGGAGATATAAATACAATTTATTTTAACATCTCCATGTGAATTATGGAAGTTTATGAGCAGTATATTTTGCCATAAAATGGAATCTTTGTAGTGTAAGGCGTTTTGAACTTCTGTAGTAATATCAAAGAAGTGCTCTTTGTATCAGATGTGGATGCTTGTCTTCATGAAGCAGGTTGGTTACCAGCTAACTTGTACCTGGGAGATATTCTATTTAAATGTCAGTTGTGGAACCAACTGTTCTAACAGATTTTCTTGGTTTTACTCAGTTTGAAGCATCAGAAGGAAACTCATAAAGCATTTATGACAAAAGTCAGAAACAAGGAAACAGAATGCAGACGGTTCTTGTTGCTTTCAGTGTGCTGAACCGCAGTCCAGAACACTTGATCAAAGAGATCATTCTGGTAGACGACTTCAGCGACCATCGTAAGTACACTTGGAGACTAAGCATTATTTCCACATAGAATTCATTATTATGAAGTTAAATTTGTCTGGCTGCCTCTTCATGGTAATGTTTTTGATGAAGTGATTGCATTTGAAACTCTTGTTAAATATGTTATATCCTCATTTCATTAATATTCAGTGAATGAACTTAAGGAACAATTGGATTAAAAAATATGATACTTTCCCAATGTGATAATAATGTGTGTGCTCTTGTCACAAGCAATTTATTTTGTGTTTTGCAGCCTCAGATGGTCAGGAGCTGGCTAGGATACAGAAGGTGAAAATCATACGGAACAGCAAGAGAGAGGGTGAGTGGTTCGTTGCCCAAGGGAAGTCTAATAGAAACTCACCCATATGTGTGTGTCATCCAGTCTCTGGAATATGTTAGTCATGAAGTTTTGGATCTCAGGATATCTCCTCTTATGTCTGCAACTGACTTTGGAGGTGGAGATTACCTAAACAGTGTTTAGACAGAACCACTGAATTGTGTTTTGAAAACCTTAAAAGTACTGAACTGGAATGTAGCTCAGGATAGGAATCAGTGGGTTCTTATGAACACAGTAATGAACCTTTTGGTTCTTTCTGGTTCTGGTCTAGTCCAGTGTGGGTTGGACTCATCTGGTTGTGACAGGGAATTTCTTCAATGGCTGAGCAACTGTAAGTAAGATATGAATTGGTTCAGTGTAGAGTCCAATGGTGGGATTTTGTGGGCATGGTTGCCTAGTAGCATGAAATAAGAAGAATCAGCAAATGCACCCATGGGCTGGGGTTCAGAATGTGTTTCATATGCACCTGATGTCTGTCTGCTGTATAAGTGTTTCAGTGAATTAAACTTTCACATGGTAATACTCATATAACAGAACCTTGTTATACTGAATTTCATCAAAATATGTTGGAAAACTTTAAAAGATGTGAATGTAATATAAGTTTGAACTTGAAATAAACTAATGTTTACAATTATATGAAGTGAATGAAAGTTATACATGGCAGTACTCTTATAACAGAAGTGTCAAATATTGAGAGCTATAAGAATCTGTCAGAGGCCTTGAAATATATGTAGAAGACTAAAGTATCCTCTTAAGTGTAGTGACCCTCCCCCTCCTCCTCCTCCTTCTCATAATCATCATCATCATCATCATGGTATAGACAGTCAAACCTGTTACAATTTCATAGACTCATTCGATATTTTCCAATGTCCTTCTTGGTCTCAGCATCCATTTGGTTTACAACATGTAATCAACGTACTACAAGCGCCAGGATAGCGCAGTCAGTATAGTGACTGGCTATGGGCTGGATGACCAAGGGATCGCAGTTCGAGTCCCGGTATGGTCAAGACTTTGCTCTTCTCCAAATTGTCCAGACCGACCCGAGATTCTTTCCCCCAGGGTAAAGCAACCAGGGCGTGAAGCTGACCACTCACCTCCAACTAGTGCCGAGGTCAAGAAAATGTAGAACTATACATCCACTCCCTCATACGCCTTCATAGTATAATGTGTAATTAGTTAAGCACAGGGAAACTTTAATAAAAGCACCATATTTCAGGCTTCATCATACTCTGTCAAAGAACTTAAAAATGAATGTGAAAGTTCATTTATACCCTTCAGTATAGTGGAATTTGAGATTAGTTAATGTGAATGAAGCTTATACATCATAATATTTGCGTAAAAGTTCAATTAGGTGTTTAATTATAGTTGATTTGGAAATGAGTTAAGGTTAGTGAAACTTCTGCATAGTACAACGGAAATGCTGTATATTAATTTTCATCCAAATCTGTGAGAGAATTCTCACAATTAAATGTTAATAGTTCATTTAGGTCCTTTAGTAAAGGGGCCCTTAAAATCAACCGAACTAAGGCAAATTGAAGTGGCTAGTTGAACTTTGATAGATTTGAAAGGATTCTGACGATGGTGTATACTGTACTTCTTTTGGACTTCATCCATCGTCTGGTATGTAAAAGACAAAAGACCACGACGTTTCGGAGACTGGATCTGTCTCCGCATTCAGGTGGATAGGTTTATCCTTTCCCTACTCACCTGAAGACGGAGACAGATCCAGTCTCTGAAACGTCATGGTCTTTTGTCTTTTACATACCAGATGATGGCTGAAGTCCAAAAGAAGTAGATGAAGTTTGTTGTAGGTATACCATACCGCACTTGAATGAAGTCCATCAAGTAGTTGGGGCACAGCTCCTAGTGGACTGAAGATGATCATGATGAAACTAGTAGGTTTCTAATTACTATTACTGTATTACTTTGAATATAAGGAGCACATTTTTTCCCATTGAAAAATCGAGGTGCATCCTAAATGCAAGAAATGTGCACCGTTCTGATTCTTTCCCCCTAAAATCCACATTCAAAAACTGGTTGTGTCTTAAATTCAAGGGCGCCTTATATTCGAAGTAATATGATGTTGTTTTTAATGCCTCAGGAAACTGTCAGCACCAAAGAATATTGTATAGCGTACTTAGAGCAGTTTTGAAAAGCTTGGGATGGGCTATAACTATGGTAACACCGTGTTGTTATTTAACAGAACATTTTGAGACTTTCCCCTTTGTGCTGACAGCTAACAAAATATGTAATGAAATGTTGCAAGTCATTATATTATTAGCAGAAGAGAGAAAGTTATGCTGAAGCATCATTATGTAATATCTGCTGATCTCTTTACACTGCATTGCCAACCTGAGAGTAATCTGTACTGTGTGAGCAACTTCACTGATGATGACACAGAAACTCTGTTAGATGCCACTAAGGAAGTTTGTCTTGAAGTAAATACAGTGAAAGCCAAGTATATGTGCCTGTCTTATCATCTGAATGCTGGACAAAATTAAAATATAAACATAACCAAGAAATGTGGCAAAGTTGAAATGCTTTGAAACATGAGGAAACAGAAAGTACTCGTATATTTATGGAAACGTTAAAGCAAATAAAATTAGCAGAATGCTTGGCTACCATTTCTTGTCAACAACCTAGAGATCAAGGAATGCAAAACTATAATTTTACCTGTAACTTTATATGAATGTGAAGCTTTTACCCTTGTCTGAAGGGAAGAACATGCATTAAAACTATTTAAGAAGAGAGTGGTGTGGAGAATGTATTTGAATCTAAGGGAGAGAAAATAATATGAGTTTGGAAAAAAAGCTGCATAATGTGCTCATCATCAGATATTATTAGGATGATCAAATCAAAGTCAATGTGAGAAAAATATATAGTTCTCATGGAGTAGGTGAAAAATGCGTACAGAATTGTGGTCAGAAAACCTGGAGGGAAGAATCAAAGTTGTGATGTAGGCGTAGATGGTAAGATAATATTAAAATGAATCACGGTAAATGGGATGTGAGGGTATGGGTTGGATTTAACCGGCTCAGGGGAGAGAATTCTTATAAATATGATTCAGGTTGCACATGTGTAATTCCTTTACCAGCTGATCTCTTATTAGTCCTGTTACTTTTACTGACTAGAAAACATGTGATGTGGCTGGGCATTGTAGGTATAAATAATGAGGCACACAAATATTTGATTTGTGGTGAATTCAAGAAAAGAACAGTGGGATAAAAATTTATTGACACTTCCAATGAGAATAGGAGTATATATTTATATATGTAATTAAGAGTAAGACTCCATCTCAGAGAAACCTTCCAGAAATTCTGACAAATCATCATTTCTTATGGAATTTAGTACCATCTGAGTGATACCTTAAAGGGATTACTGACGTGTTTCTAATTATGAATTACTTTAAATATTAGGTTTTGTGTTTGTATTTTTCTGAGATCTGCATAATAAAGTTAAAAAAAGGGTAATGCTATCCCTGAAACCAGGTTCAGGTACATTTTTAGGCGGTAATTTTTTCCTGATAAAGAACAGTATGGAAATGACATAAGAAATATTAAATTTATTTTTTGTCTTCCCTTCTAGGTTGTGATGGATTATTATATACCATAAACATATCCATGGATCCATGTAATAGGCAAATGAGATGTTCAGATATTTGCTGTCATTGCTTGTTGTTGATTGTCAGTTTTGCGCAGGCCTCATGCGGTCGCGAGTGCGAGGTGCAGATGCAGCAACGGCTCCGGTACTTACTTTTCTGGACAGCCACTGTGAGTGTAATGTTGGTTGGCTGGAGCCACTACTGGAGCGTGTAGCAGAGGTATAGCAGTTATATCCTGATCATAAGACTCGCCTCGCTGATTGCAGTATTATAGTAAAAATCTTTCTTTCTTCTTATAAGTCTTCATAAACATCCTCTTTCTCTGGGTTCTTATGAATATGATACTTGTTTTTCTTTTTTGTTTATACATTATTTCATCCACTATATCTCACACATTTAAACACAGAGCAATTAATTGTTTGTTTCAGGCTACTAAATTTCCATCACATTCAAATATAATTAATCCCATTTTTTGACATAGTTCCTTGAAAGTGTGTTTAAACTGAACCACTTAGTTTTGTTTTAATTGTTAATTAATGATATTTATTTAGTAAGTGAAGTGAATCAATGTGGCAAACCTCTAGATCAGACAGAAAGTACGAGTATCTGTGGGAAAACTTTGCATGAAACCAATTCTTGAACAATTGGAAACAGGATTTTATTGCATAAACAGCAGTTGTACACATAAAAGTGCATGTGCATGAAGGCACACATTCACTCAAAATAACACATTCTATGTTCCTGTCCAGGACAAGACACGTGTTGTGTCTCCAGTCATTGATGTGATAAGCATGGATACTTTTGAGTACATTGGAGCATCAGCCGACTTGAGGGGTGGCTTTGATTGGAATCTCGTATTTAAATGGGAGTATCTGAGTGGAGAGGAGAGGGCACAACGAAAGAAAGATCCAACAGCAGCCATCAGGTATAGTCACATCAGAATATTGCAGGACAGAAGTCAACATTTTTGGTGTAGTGTCAACACCAATTTGGTCCCCGTTAAATATTAACTTCCTGGTAACAGACCTCAGAGGTTCAGTCTGGCTCTTGTTAAGCATGCCATTTGATATGATCTTGAGCTGGTTCATCATTGCATATAGGTACTTACTCATGGAGCTGAGCATTTCTGGAGGAGCCGCCAATTCTCCAGCTACTCAAGAATTTCCCAGCATTTTATGGAAGGTTCATTATCGTGATCACAAGAGCCCTCCACTGGTCCCTATCCTGAGCCAGATCAATCCAATCCATCCCATTCCATCTCTCTAAGATCCGTTTTAATATTATCCACCCACCTACACTTTGGTCTTCCCAGTGGTCTCTTTCCTTCTGGCTTTCCCACCAATATCCTATACGCATTCCTCGACGCCCTCATTCATGCTACGTGCCCTACCCACCTCATCTTCCTTGACTTGATCATTCTAATGTACTTGGAGAAGATTACAAGTTACAAAGCTCCTCACTGTGCAATTTTCTCCAACCTTCTGTCACTTCATCTCTCTTCGGTCCAAATATTCTCCTCAACACCCTGTTCTCAAACACCCTCAGTATATTTTTTCCCTTTATGTCAGAGACCAAGTTTCACACCCATACAGAACCACAGGCAAAATTATAGTTTTGTATATTCTAATTTTTATGTTTTTGGACAGCAGATGAGAAAACAAAAGGTTCTGGACTGAATGGTAGCAAGTATTACCTGAGTTCAATTTCCTCATAATTTCCTCCAGAATCAGGTTTCGATCTGTTATCGTTGTTCCCAATTATCTGAACTGTGCTCATTGCATATAGGATATTGGTGAAAAAGCCAGAAGGAAAGAGACCACTAGGAAGACCAAGACATAGGTGGGAGGATAATATTAAAATGTATCTTAGAGATATAGCATGGGGTTGTATAGACTGCACTGGATTGATATCAAGGGGATAGGGACCAGTGGGGGGCTCTTTGGGTTCCATAAAATGTTGGGAAGTTCTTGAGTAGCTGCACAACTGGTGGCTTCTCAAGAAGGACTCATCTCCATGAAGTTAGTTAATTATATATCTTACCTCAATCTTCATTGTTTTTTAAATCATGTGGGATCACAGCGGTTTCCAAAATAAGTAATAAAAGTATTTTACAAATGTATTCTTTTCTTAATTTCATGTTGAGCTCCCATTTGTTTTTTCTTACTGTTCTTTCTAAACATCGACATATTAAATGTTTTTCTAATGATAGCATATGATAAATGTTATATACCTCAAAACACAAATGTACAGTAATCTTTTGTTAGACATAGCTGTGTGATGTTTGAGTAGTCGATAAATATTAAGCTATTTATAAAATGCACATTTGTTATAGAGCCAAGTTTCCCCAAGCCTGTGTTTGGACCCTCCCCTGAACCAGTTCATATCATAGTCATAACATACAACACTCTTAATACACTAACAGATGTGCAATATTTTCAGTCCTTTTGGGCTATAAAGTGCTTTCTCCTCCTTCCTTTGCTTCATGTAGAATTATTCTGAGGATTGTGGCCTTCATATATGTTGTTAGTGGTGTTGAATCTTCAGGTTTTAGTTAGTTGTTAGATCCTAATTTCTGAACATTTTTGATGATGGTGCATTATATTACATTACATCCATGTAATGTACATGAGAATGGAATAATTGTTTATCCTTATAAATGTAGAAAAGAATTGTACCTAGTAAGATGTTAATTGTTTTCATGATATAATGGAATAGATTTCATCCTACCATCCAGCATTAATTTCACCATTCGCAGTTGGTTCTGTGCAAATGCTGCCCAAGTCCTGGTAGTATAACCATTAATCCTGTTGTGGCAGTACAGAGAAATTGAGGTCAAGTTTTAATTTTAAGAGTAGTATTTGTGTTTTGGTTTCTTGTGCTGACAGTATGTGGTATTGTATTTGGTTCAGGCACTAAGCTACAAGTAGGAAAATTGCGGGTTCAAGCAACAATGAGGTGGATTTTTTTCAATTAACCTAATTCTTCCAGCCACATTATGACCCTGGGGTTGACTCAGCCTCTAACAGAAATGAGTACCAGGAATCTTCCTGGGGGTAAAGGGCAGCTGGCACATAAGGCGACTGTCGAAAGACAATGTGGGCGCCTTGATGTGTCACAACCCTATGGGCCTTCACAACCTGTAACAGGGATAGCTTTTATGTGTTGACAGTTTAAAATAACAGGCACAGTTGTGTTGATCTGAAAGCCATTAGCCAATCAGTCACTCTACAGTTTCTTGACCTGGTTGTTTTTTGTCATCAGGACACCAATGATTGCAGGTGGTCTGTTTGTGATCGACAAGTTGTACTTTGAGAAGCTCGGAAAGTATGACATGATGATGGATGTCTGGGGAGGTGAAAATCTTGGTGAGTTTCAACTCATGAAATTCATGTATTGTTTGACTCTTGAGGAACTGCTGTTGGATGATACTTAATTTGTAATGTTGCTTTTTTTTTTCCTTGGCACTACAGCCCCAGTGGGCCTAGGCCTACCTCCATGAACTCCGTTCACTTCGGTTTTTCTCGATCTTACACATACGGTAGGACTCCTTGGGCGAGTGATCAGCTCGTCGCTACCTGTAGACAAACACAGAAAAACGCATACAAACATCCATGCCCTGAGTGGGTTTTGAACCCACAATCCCGGCTTCCGAGCGAGCGAAGACAGTGCATGCCTTAGACCGCTCGGCTACCGTGCCCGGCGTAATGTTGCTTTACCAACCATAATTTATATTGTGTCAAATGGTAGGTTGATTGTGGAACAGTGATTTATTCCATATCTTGCAATTACTCAGTATATTCTGCTACTCTTTCCACTCAAACTTTTTATTTGGAGATGCAAGGATCATAGACTCACAGTTTTCATGGATAATTGGATGGGACGAAGAGATGCTTGGATTGGTTTATGACTGATTTTGCTGCTTCCCTTTTATCATGCATAATTGTAGAGACAGACTGTCAAGATTCACACAGTATGTACTGTATTTGTTATATCTGTTGCAGTATTAAAAGAAATAAGAAAGATAGAACTGAAGTAAGAATTTAAAATTAAAGAAAATGTGAACCTGTTTTAAAAGGTAGATTATAAACACTTTTTAATAAGAAGAATTCTGTCTTCTGGGATGTGCCGCCATGTAGATCTTGTGTGAACTGGTGTTTTGGAGGACCATATCGCCTCCATCTTCAATGTAGAAAAATCCACAAGCAAGGAACCAGCATGAGAAGTTGGCTAGCAGACTGAGCCACCACTCAAAAACACCCGGCTATATAAGAACTGGAAGGTAGGGGGCATGGGACACATGGGAAATCAATAGAGCAGAGGGGAAGGTTCAGTAGAGATGGGAGGAAGACCATAAATTTGTTTCACAGAATGTGGTGCACAACGTTTTATCTAGTATTTTGGATCTGTGTATGGTCATCTTTTTAAAACTGTCTACATTGGTCTCTATTTATATATAAAATAAATTATTCACAGAGATATTGGGTTTTTTTGACTTTTTCCATCATCCTGGTTTTAAGATAACTAAGAAAAACATGACGTTTCGGAAAATGGATCTGTTTCCGTCCTCAGGTGAGGGAAAACACCTATTCTGTTGGGTCCCTTAGAAAGAGCTAGCCTCAATCACTGGACAAAGGGACCCAACAGAGTAGGTGTTTTCCCTCACCTGTGGACAGAAACAGATCCAGTTTCTGAAATGTCATGTTTTTCTTAGTTATCTTAAAACTAGGACGATGGATAAAGTCCGAAAACCAAATATTTCTGTGTGTTATACACCATCGTCAGAATCCTATAGTAACTAAAGAAATTAGTATTAATTCTTTAAAAAAAAAAATGGTAGTCATCATTTTACATATAATAACTTTTATTATACATTTCTGCATTTTGAAACCATAAAGTACTTTCACTTGAGGTCCACAGAGTGTGACCACACAAATGTATTTTGACAGTTTATCATTAGAGACAAATTAGGTGTGTATGATCATAAAATGAACAAAGTAGGAGAGTATGTGAATAATTGTTGTAATCTAAGTCACCCAAATGAAACTCTTGTCATTTTCAACTGCTTAATTCAGAGATCTCGTTCCGGGTGTGGCAATGTGGCGGCAGTCTGGAAATTATCCCCTGCAGTCGTGTGGGACATGTGTTCAGAAAACGACATCCATACACATTTCCTGGGGGAAGTGGAAATGTATTTGCCCGTAATACACGCCGGGCTGCTGAGGTTTGGATGGATGAGTTCAAGGAGTATTATTATGCAGCCGTACCCCTAGCAAAACACATCCCGTTCGGCAAGTGAGTGGTCAGAAAGTGGTACCTTCTGCAGCAAATGCTTGTATGTCATGTTTGCTTTTGTATGTGTTACAAAGTTAAAACTTAGTCATTATCAGTAATGACCTACCATTATCAGTAATGGCTAAAGCCAGCCAGCTAAATGCCAAAATAAATGGTGAAAATAAACAGTTTCAGACAGTACTAGTGGTAAGTTTTAATAAAGACCACACATAAGAAATCATTGTTATTTTCTAATTTGAAAATTAAAAAAAAGTGTGAAATCACTTTAAAACATTATGATGGTGGTGGTGGTGGTGGTGGCGACAGTGGTGGCGGTGGCCCACAAAATGATTCTTATTCAAAATGCAATCAACTAATAGAATGCTGAACAGTTTTTCCCATGAAAATACCAGTTCACATGCAGTTCAGTAGTTTGCCTTGCTGCACTGAGTGAAATTGTGACTTTGTATCAATGTTTATTTTAAATAATTAATTTAATTATGACATCTTTGTCATTATGACTCCTTTAATTGCTTACTATCAATTATTAATCATGTTTCTAATTTAAATGCAACATTTTAAACACAAATATTCTGTATTCTGAAACCTAATTTCTTAAATCATAAATTATCGAATACTTTGATCTCATCTGGCATGTTCAAGATGCTGGACTTATCAGTTTCGGCAAACCAAAGTCTGAAATTGTGAATAACAGAATTTTTTGGACTTGACTTATATGCGTATACTTATGAGTATGATAGGTTTTTGCTAATTTATCATGTTCTTGCACAAGAATAATCACATATTTTTAATGAAACAGACTGTCTTCTTTTTGAAACATGAAAGGTATATTCTGCCACCTAAGGGAGTCAGGAAGACTGATACAAAAGTGCCTGCATCATCCTAAGAATCTTTTTTAAACGTTCCTTACTGGGGTGAGGGTGGGGCTTATGTGGAAGGTCTGTCTGTGAATCTAGTGTCACCACTTGAAATGCTGGACAAATTTTCTTAAAATCTAATATGGCAGATTTTTCCTAAAGTTGTTCTAATTTATGGTCACATTGACTCACAACGCCACTCATTTTTCTTGAGGCATAGCTTTTGAAACTTTGGGTTATGACCTATCTAAAGGGGTAGCTAAATTTTCAAGAATTATCTGAAACATAACTGTTAACACATAATTTTTGCAAGGCAGTAGGTCTAAAATAGATGCTTTAGGAGAATGTGGCTGCAGAAGCACATTTCATAAAGTTTTTCGCGATTGTGCAGGAACATGTTATCAATTATTGTAGGGTTAGAAAGGGTGTGAAACTAATTAGATCCCTGCTGTCACTGCACAGACTCACATGGACCTGCAGCAGTGCAGAGAGCTGAACATTTTACTGACTAGAAGGGATAAGAGGTTGCATAAGATTATGTATTATTTTAGGGTGTTAAAACACAAAGTTTGAGAAACCTTGATGTAAAGCTAGCTATCCCTGTAAGGGACCATGGAGGTCCATATGGTTGTGAGATGCTGGGGCTCCTACATACACAGTGTGTCCAGGATCCGTTAGGACTAATTTTTTTTAAATTTTGCCCTGCAATGCCATCTGTTGGTGAGTTGTGGTGTTAAGATTCTTGATGTTTCAGCTGAGGCTGTCTATAATTTCAAAGCGCAAGTATTGCTGCATCACGTGTTCTGACCCTCGTCAGAAAATGGTGGTTGAATAGAGAGCCAACATAAAATTTTGTTTGAAGTTAGGCAAAACAGCCGGAGAAGCATATGAAATGATGAAAAGTGTGTATGGTAGTGATTGTTTGAGTTACTTGAACACTTTTTGATGGTATGCTGTATTTCATGGTGGCAGGGAGGACACTGAAGACGCTCCATGTGCGTCAAAGCCGAAAACAAGTCGCACTGAAGAAAATGTGAGAAAGTTGCAACACTCATCGAGGAGCTTTTGGGAATACCAAAAAATACTGTGCCTCAGATTTTGACCGAGAATTTGGGCAAACAGAAGGTCTGTGCGCGGTTTGTACTGCATGCGCTGTCAGGCGATGAAAAACATGCCAGAGTGGAACACTGCAAAGACATGTTACGGTTGGTCCAAAGTCATACAAAATTGATTGTTAGTGGTGACGAGACATGGCGTTTTCAATATGAGCCTGTCACAAAGCTGCAGAGTGCAGCGTGGTTGAGCCCAAAGAAAGTGCACATGCAAAAGAGTCGAGTAAAGACACTGTTAACCGTTTTCTTCAATTCCAAAGGAATCATTCACAAGGAATTTCTGCCAGAAGGTCAAACACTGAATTCTGATTATTATCTTGGAGTCCTCAATCATTTGTGGGCGAGAATTCTTTGAATTTGACCTCAATATCGAGAGCAAGGTTCCTGGTCGTTCTTCCACGACAATGCCCCACCCCACAAATTGAAGATCGTGTGGAATTTTTTGGCCACAAAAAGGATCACAGTCGTTGATCATCCTCCATATTCACCAGATTTGGCTTCTGGTTGTTCCCAAATGTTAAGTTGGCGATGAAAGGAGACTGTCACGACACCATCCAGGACACCCAAAGGGAATCTACCGCAGTTTTAAATGTGAATCCACAAAAGGATTACAGTGACTGTTTTCGAAAACTTTTCAATCGATTCCAGCTATGTATTGATTCGGGAGACTATTTTGAATAAAAAGAGTGAAATTTTGAAAATAATTCAGGTCTTGAATTTTTAATGAACACATTCGTAACAGAACCTAGACACACTGTGTATGCTAGACATTTGGCTCACAAATGGCAGTGAGGTTAAGAAACCCTGACTTAGGGTCATAAATTAAATTTTTCATGTAATCATAACCTGTTAGGCAGATTTTGATAAAGTGCTGTATTAAATATCTTTACATAATGTTAGTTGGCCTTTATGATTGGTTGTCATGTTAACCAAATATAGGATATTGATCTGATATGTCCATTGATATATGTTTTAAAGTATAAAATATTCCCTTGTATTGATATTACATATTATAATTTGTATGTTGAAAGATATGAGAATGTTTTGATGAGTTACTGTTACAGAGTACAATTTCTTTCTGTGATATTCATATTGATCATTTTCATTTTTGTAGACTTTTTGATAGTTTTTATTTTGGCTTTCAGGCCTTTTATTTTGTATTTAATTTTGAATGCCTATACATCTCAGTCTAATTTATCATAACACTAAAGTGCATTGTGTCAACAGTGAGTGGTTTCAATACTTTCTGTTGTTTTAAACTCTTGAGTTTCAATGTATTTAAGCATGCACATGAACAAAATTCTTGACTGGCTGATACATTTGAGTTCATATTTTATTACCTCATTCATATAAAATGTTGATGTGGGAGGCGTGAATTCCTTGTGGCACATTTTGTTCACTATTGTAATACCCTTTTAATCTGCTGCCATGTTTGGGTCCAAATTGGTGTTGAGAAAACTGTGTTTCAAGAGTCCCGGTGTGGTTAGGTATCTAAATCAGTAATGTGGATTTGTAACTGCTAATAAAGTAATAATATTTTGCTCATGTTGTTAGAAAGTAGCCATAGAGTCAAGGCTGCAAATATCCTTTTTCTTTATACTTCATAATGACATATGTCTACAGTATTGATGATCGGCTGGCATTGAAGGAACGCTTGCACTGCAAACCATTCAAGTGGTACCTAGACAATGTGTATCCACAGCTAAAGCAGCTGAAGATGCCTGCCTCAGATGTCACAACAAGCATGATGCGACAGGGAAACATGTGTCTAGATACACTGGGACACCTGGTCGACAATACGCTGGGCATTTTTCTGTGCCACAACAGTGGTGGCAATCAGGTGATTCTCATACCTCGCTCGATAGCAGGCCTTGCTCCTGGCATGGACATGTTGAATTCTCAAATTACTGACATGACAAGAAATCTTTGGTTATGAAGAATGCCATCTTCTGGGATGTTGCGCCATGTAAATATTCTGTTAACTGACATTTTGGAGGAACATATTGCCTCGCATCACCTACACGGCCCCACATCCCAGAAGATAGCATTCTTCAGTCACTGCCATGAAAACCTCAAATCCTACAATCTTTGGTTAGGTTAGTTAGTTGAATGTTTGTAATAATATATCAAGTGCTGAGATTATTAAGCATTATGGTAGGATCATCAAGAATCAAGAATAGGGAGAGAAGTAATGGTCTAGTTTAAGGTATTATCATGAAATTTGCCTGAAGGTTCTTATGAAAACGACAAAAATAAATACTTCAGACTTCTGAATGTGAGTTGAATGTCTAATTTCTGGATGAAATGAATTTCAAAAAGTGTATGTGAACTATGAAGTCATATGCAGTGCTCATCTGTTTCAGGAATGGTGGTTCACAAATGACAACCACATCAAACACCATGATGTATGCCTCTCATTATCTGAGCCACAGATTGGAGCTCCTCTGTTGATGAGATTCTGTGAAAACTCAGAGAATCAGGTACTGGCTACTTCATTTGTCCCTGTTTTGGTTCTTCCTCTATAGCATTCACCTGAGATTAGAAAAGTATATTTGTCCTAAAATGGAAGAGGTATTTCAATTTAAACTTTTTTTTTACTGAATTGTAAGGAATTGCAGATTTAAAATATCAAGTCACATAGGGTGCTACTTCGCCACCTGATAGGTTTGTTAAAGTTTTATTGCAGTTGGGAATTTTGTTGCTGCTGCTACTTTTTTCCCCCCCCCCTTCTCTATCTCCCTGCCTTCCCTCTCCCCACACCCTTTCTTTTCGTCTTCTTGGTTGCTCCAAACCACTAGAAGTTATCTCAGTCTTGAGACTTTGTTTTGCATTATACAGAGCAGCTTCCTAGAGTTAGGGCAGCCTTCCCATACAAAGCTACAGAATTCTTGAACAGTATAATTTTATCATTTTTCTTGTTACTTATTTTATTTCTGTCACTCTTATGTTTGTTGTTATTTCTCTAGCCTAAAAAATGTCAAGTATAAGCTGTATAGCTCATATAATTTTGATTTGTTTCAGTTTGGTCCGTCACACTAACAATTACAAAGACAAAGCAACTCCGTCCAGTGTGACTATTTAAGTTTTACTACTTGAAAACATGTAAGGATGCTAAGTTTTCAAGTAGTAAAACTTAAATAGTCACACTGGACAGAGGTTCTCTGTCTTTGTAGCTCATATAATATTAGATACTATAGGGTTGTGACGATGGTGTATAACACACAGAGATACTGAGTTTTTGGACTTTGTCCATCGTCCAGATTCTAAATAACTAAGAAAAAAACAGGTTTCGGAAACTGGATCTGTTTCCGTCCTCGGGTGAGGGAAGACATCTACTCTGCTGGGTCCCTTAGAAAGAGCTAGTCTCAATCACTGGACCTAGACAACATTATATGACAGAGATACTGGCTTTTCGGACTTTGTCCATCGTGATTGAAGCTAGACCCTACAGAGTAGGTGTCTTCCCTGAGGATGGAAACAGATCCAGTTTTGGAAACGTTGTATTTTCTCTTAGTTATTTAGAATCTGGATGATGGACAAAGTCCAAAAACCCAGTATCTCTGTGTCATATAATGTTGTTGGGGAAGTTAAATTGATGAAGTTTTAATGCACTGGATATGTAGGTTGGATGGTGAGACAGAATTTTGGTGCAGAGACCTCTTGGGAAGCAGCCACTTGGGGGGCTGAGAAGTTTAGGGGAGAGACATTAAGATGGGTTTTCAAGAATAGAAATATGTGGCGCTGTACTGGCCTTCCCAAGTCATCATGTGAAGGTGCATAGTTAAACTTATGGAAATAGACTGTGATATTACAAGTATGTACTGGAATCTGGTTCAGTGGCAGGCAGTGGCTAGTGTTAGCAGTGTATCAATTACCAGTGAGTCAGTTAGTTGTTTAACTCGGATTTTATTTTTATATTTGTTATGCTTTTACTGTATCTTCTTGCAGAAGTGGCACCAGGTTGAGAAGGGTGGCCTGGTGAAGCACATTCGACTAAGTCTGTGCATTGACTCTAAAGACTACAAGACTCGAGGACTGACAGTGGAGCGATGTGATTCCAGCTCTCCGTCCCAGCATTGGAGTTTTGCAGTGAAGAAATTGTGATGATCTGTCAGCTTACATACTTGTACATAACCTTAATACAAACTGGCCAATCACAAGCCAGTCTTGCATTTATTATGGCATCCAGTGATGCTTTCACACAAGCTAAATGAGATTTTACTCAGGTCTGAAACATTCACGGACATCATCCGTGTACCGAACATCACGTATCGTGGGCCACTAAAGATGAACCTAATGCTCAGAAACCCAGTTTGGGTTTCATGATGGGTGTAGGCTGTGAGAAACATGCAAGTCATTTAGTCACTTTCCACAAACTGAATGGTTGCTGAACATGTGTACGAGTGGTGCTGGCATTTATTGATGTTTGAATGATAAATTTGACTGGAATTAAAGTGAAAATGGAGCAAAGGAGTAATAAGTGACAGCCATCTGGAAAATAACACAAACTCTTTAAAGTAATTTAGTGTGGAAAGACATTGGGAAAGTATTACTAGTAGAGTGTGAATCAGAGGTGGCAATTCAGTTGCACTGAAACATGTCAGAGAAGGAAAGAGAACTTCCTTTATTCCTTCCCAGGATTTGCCATTCTTACCAAATTTTTAACATTTAAAAATCAGTGTCTGTGTTAAAACATATTGAAAATTGAATTGTAAAAAAATGCCAACTAATTGTAAGTACAGTAGAACATATGTGAGATTATTTGGTTTAGCCAGTACTTCATTCTTTGCTAGGGGAAACAGATTTTTCTGACAAGGAAACAGAAAGTAAAGTGTATTTTACCATGTACTGCTGCTTCTCAGGGCAAAGTTTTGCTGCTTTCTTTACTGTTGGAGTTTTGTGAGGAAATGCTTACTGAGCCTGTGAATTACAAGCTTTTGTTTTGTATAGTTCCATGTATAGCTTGATAGACCAAATTTTTATTGTTTCCTGATTTACTGAATGATGATCTGTCATGAGTAATATTGAATGATGAATGATGAACTGAGGAGGACATAAGAGCAAGTGGCTATGGGCACTTTTAAGGCATTATCCCTGCATTTGTCTAGAGAGACTGGGGAGAAGTATGAGAAATGTGAGCTCAGTATTCAAATCTGGCATCTCCCAAGTATGAAGCACAAGAGTTAATCATTACACTGCAGCAGCATTTGACAGAACAGCTTCTCCCATGTATAAATGAGGCAGGCAATGGAAGCAGAAAGTGTTCAGAGCAGCATAAGAGTGAAGAAGCAGAGAACTTCATGATGGCTGCATTATTACGGGCCAACACTATCCATGAATAGCCATCTCTGAACTATTAACTTCTGAGTGGTTGATTCAAAACTGATCAGCAGTTTAATGTGAACAGATGTAAAGACTGAGGCCTTTGCAGAGTGCCGCACTGATATACTACATACTCCTTCCTTCATACTTAAATAACTCACATTCACTCATCTTTGCACAAATGAAGATGATATAACTTACATCTTATTGTGTTGCAATTGTGTACTGCAGCATCTTAATGCAGAGTCTTACTGTAATAGTTTAACAAATCATTTAGAGAAACTGCATTTCATACTGTTATTGCTTGAAGTCTCCTGTGGTCACTATTGTACTTCAAATTTTGGGGCAAAGTATATTGTGTGAATTGTATCATCATTTAGTATGAACTATATCATGGGGTTGGCCGTGCCATAGCTCAAGCGGTTAGTCATTGACTTCCCACTGCGGCGACCCGGGTCTGGTCAAGTGGGACTTGTGGTGGACAAAGTGGCCCTGCGGCAGGTTTTCTCCGAGTACTTCGGTTTCCCCTGCCAATCTTCATTCCACCAATTGCTCCACAATCACCCTCACCTATCATCTGGGGCTGGTACAATAGGCTAGAAGTGGCCACAGTACAAGGGACTTAGTCCCACCCCACTAGCAATACCAAATATCATGGGGTTCATTTATCACACAGTTTTTAGAGGCAGAACACAGCTGCTGTCTTTGTCACAGATAATGCTACAGAGTTGGGTTTGAGGCTTGTATAGGTGAGTTACTTCAGGAAGTAATTCCATTGCCCTCATTTAAACACTGTTGAGTTCAAAGTTGCTCTGCTATTCATGTGATCTCCAAAACAGAACACTTTAACTTATCTATCTGCTAGCTGCGCTTAACTGCAAAGTTTAGTTGAGGGTGATAGAATTACCCTTTAGTTCGAATTAAACTATGTTTCTAACTCTGACACAAGTTCATAGTAGAGACATACTGACCTAGTTTCAAGTTATAATTATTTGGTGAAAGTAGTTTGGGAAAGTAATGTAAGAAAGCAATTAAGTTGGATTTGGGCAGAAAATAGGGACTGGCAGTGAAATTAGAAGTGTGTGGATGTGAAGGACAAACTTAGGAATGCAATATTGTATTGTATGTAGATGCGCAGACTTCTGATGTTACTCAGAAGATGGTTCTGCATATCTTCTATGTGCAACTCTTCAAAAGTTAGGTTTTGAACTGGGCTTTTGCATCATTTTAAAGTGATCATACCATACCAATTTTGGAATACATATTAGTAACAACTTTTGCTTTCATTTGCTTCACAAAAAATAAACAAGAAAAATTCATGGCATTCCACTTCTATAGAATCTTGCACTACCTATTAAAAAATGTAAAAGTTAATAACGAAAATATGGCAAAAAATTATGGTGTTCTCCCTTCTTCTTTACATTACATCTCGGAAGAGTGGGAGTTTATTTAATGCTGATAATTAAATAGTATCATCTGGGTTTCAAAAGGGTTGACATACTTACTGCTGAACCTAGTGCGAGAAGAATATCCAGCTTGTTTTCCAAAAAGTCATGAGATCTCTGTGCCCTAGATAAGCAGAAATCCTGTATACTCAGTACCTTCCCTGTTAGGGCTGTAAACATATATTTGAGCTCCATAAAGTATATATCCTGCATAGAGGCATCAGCTAGACTGGATTTTGGCAGGAAGAGGGTTAACTTTGCCTCACAATTACTGAAGACCAATACTGACCCTGGCATGCATAGTGTTGGAGATAAAAGAAACCACAGATATGTAATTCCCATTCAACCCTGTTACACATCGAAAAAAAAAATGGAACAATGCGTACATTCTGTTATTTCATGATTCTGAGTCTTCCCTTTCTTGTATCAAAGTCTGCAATACACCAACTCAGATTTATATGCAATGTTCACTTGTCCCATAAATCTAACTTTCTGTACTGTATTAACTAACCTTCATAATGTATTACACAGTTTGTTTCCTTGGACTGTTGATGCATTACATATTGTCATATTTCCAGGGTACAGTGGAATTCTGTGGTCATTTTTCTAATGTTCTTCATCTCTACAATAATAGACCTCGCTGACTGATGGGAATTTTATCTTCCCATTGCTAAAATGTGATAGTGAATATGTTAATTAGCATTTGCTTTATTTGTGGCTGATAATCTTATTATTATAATTTTATATATTTTAATATATAGGCTTTTGGAAAGGAAATGGGAAGATAAAATATCCTAAAATGATGGTTGTGAAACCTGTCTCACACCCTGTGGGAAGAAGAAATAGAGTGTGTTTGAAAACAAAATGCTGAAAAGAATATTTAGACCTAAGATAAATGACATAACAGAGAATTTAGAAATAATTGCATAATAAGGAATTTCATTAAGTTGTACTTCTCACCTAATATTAACCGACTAAATGAAACAGAATGAGATGTCTGAGGCATGTAATATGCATGGGAAAGGTGAGAAACTTGTTGAAACTTTTGCTAAGAAAACCTTTAGGAAAGAGCCAACATGAAGAGTTTGCCATGGATAGAAGAAAATATTAAAATGGATCTTAGTTATAAAACTGTGAAAATGTAAACTGGATTAGGATAGAGTCTAATTGTGTGCTTTTATGACAACTGTTGTAAATCTCTTGGTTTCACAGAAACAGAGAATTTTTTGACCTGGTGAATAACTGTCAACTGCTCAAGGAAATAATACCAAATTGCTGTTTTCACTGCATCCTTGTTTTACTGTGCAGTGTTACTTGTGTGTTGTAGTGTATGTTTATTGCTAGTAGCCTGAAGCATTCATGCATTCATGGCCTATTCCAAACAGTTTTAACAAGAAGGGGTCACTTCATTGTACTGGAGGGACAGCAAATTGTTGTTACAAGTCTTCCAATGTGACAAGAGGATCACTGAGTGAGGTGTAGCACTGCAATCACGAAGTCTCTTCCAGTTTATATTGTGTACGTGTTAAGTAAAACAACATTATGCACTGTCTGGCAATTTATTTTTTTTATTCATATATACTGACACAGATTATAGTACTTCAAGTTCTGCTCAGTGAGTTTGGTTCTAAGGAAGCTCAAGCAGTGCAATGAAAACAGGTTTTTAATTTAGTTGTCAGTTGTTTATGCCAGTGGTTCCCAAATTCTGGATAGGCCTATATAAGATAATTTGAGAGTTCACTTAAAAATGCATAAGAATTTAGTCTTTCTTCACTTCATTTCAGAAACACAGATTCATGAAATGTGTACTGATTTAGCAGTAGATATATGTATGTTGTGTCAAATGAGTCTCAAAAGAGAAAAAATGGTCAGAGATGTAATTGATAAACTCCTGGGGAATAATATTTGAGATTTGGGAATCACTGGCTTGTGTGTGCAAGTCATACAGTTTCTGAGTACAGTCTCATAAATTCTGAAACTATGTGCGACTGAGTGTAGTCAGAAGCATTTTGGTGAGTTCTTTATACAGTGGGCTTATGTATCAAAACAGTCTGACTGACAGATATGTATCTGTTATTCTAAATATCTGACACAGTTAATAGAATAGTCTCAAGTCTGAAGATTGGTGGGCCCAGATGAGCAGCATGGCTTCAGTTTTAGAACTAATTTTATTTGTTTCAAAATGCAGATAAAAATCTTTGTTTCTTTCCCATACAAACACAGCTTTTATTATGGCAAGCACTTCAGTGTCATCGCTACTGTGCATGAGAGCAAGGCAAGCGGAAACAGACTGGTGCCCTTTTGTTCTGTCTTCTGGGTCAACCATTTTTTAATTGTTCATAAATAATAACTTCGTGTATTTAATATTCTGTAAATGTAGATATTACATAACAATATATAAAACTTCTTATAGAAGATGTAAGTCCAGTCTGTTTCAGTGGGTGTTCAGGATTGGTCGTGCACCCAGTGTGTGAGAGACTAGCTCTATCGATTGGGCCCAACTGAGAAGGCGCCACCCGAACACGGAGACAGAATGCAGTCTCCGAAATGTGACGTGTTTTAAATAAAAACAAGACAATGGTTAACATCAAGAAATACAATAACTGTATTATAAGGAAGAGTTAGTAAAGAGGTCACAAATGGAAATAAAATGTAAAACATGTGATATTCGAACCTAGGGAAAAAACTTATTTCTTGACATATCCTCCACCAACACTGATACACTTGCCCCAGTGCTTAACAAGTGTGTCAAAACTCACAGCATAGAAATTTTTTAACTGTTGTCTCAGCCACTTCCGCACCTGGTCAGGCATCATCTGTGACTTCTGAATGCTCTTGAGAGAATTTCTTGGCATAGTTGTGAACTGCTTACTGCAACAAACACTTCCCACCATAAACAGGAAATATTTCTTTATGGGTATCCTTTACATCGAGTCCTTTTACCCATAAAAATGCACAACAGAACTCTGCTCTTTGGTAGAACACTCCTCAAGCACACTCACCATTCTGGCTACTGAAACCAGCCTCAGAACATATGCATATATGTCTGCTACCTAGACTGTCATGAAGCTTGACTATGCTGCTACCTGGAGATACACACAGAAAACCTATTACATTCATTACAGCTATTTTACTTTCATATGTGACCCATTTTTTGACTCACCCTCATTATATGCTATCATCATCAATTTTTACATCTTACTGATTCACTCTGTTTGAATAACTTACTTAATGAAACCTCTTACACCTGTGGTGTAGAGGTGTTTTAGAGGGCTTTCTACTTTTTTCATTCTATGACTTGTATCTTCAAATTCTATCCTGTTCATTTTCCTCTCACAAAACTGTGTTGGCAATACTGTAGGTACTACCAGGGACTCCCACATGAGACAGGTCAAAGGGCAGGAACCTGTTGATGAATGATACTCTGCAAATATGAGACAACAAGCTGGCAGTTCAGTCACCAGACTACCTGGCGATGAGTACATGATGTTTCCCAGTAAATTTATTTACTGCTGAAGGGCTTCTGCATCAAATTCTGGATGGATAAGTGCTGGGAAGCTTGAGCTGGAACAGGAGAAAGATACCTTGATGTGAAAATCATGATGTGAGGCAGATCATTAAATCATCAATACCACATATTTTATGTAACATTTCACTTCCTGCAGGAAAACAGCACTTTTATTAATTGATGTATGTAGCCTTTGTATGGAGATATGCTTTTGTTTTTCAACAAAAATAGAAGTTCAGTTGAATCCTTCCATACACTCTCATTGCATTCTACAGACAAATACCACAGAATGTAATGTGTTAAAATGTCATTAGGGAGTCAGCAAAGCCCAACTGTACTTGTTGTGCAGCACACAGCAGTAAATATTTTAGGGACAAGACCAGCACTGACAACTTGTCATAATAATGTAACAAAAATAAATTGCTGGCCAGTGCCTGCAAGGCTGATTACCATTTTACATAATTTGTCAGTTCAACTGTTTGTATTACATATTTATGTATTCAGAAAGGCTGAAGGAACCTAATAATAAAATTGTGAACATCGTTAATTTATCTCTTTGTTTCATATTTCAGCCTATGTCTGAACTGTGTTGTCTCAAGCCAGCAGAAAAGGCTGTAGTATTGTGGAATATAAGTTGAATGATGATATTTGAGTAAGTCAATGCAACAAGAAACATGTTGTAAAATTAAAACGTCCCTATACCTATGCATCATTCTTTAAAGGATAGGGGCATGAACATACAACTCCATGCAGTCTAAGAGATCACTGCCCAAACAGTGGTGAGTGATCAGCTTTATTACCAGAAAAAGAGCCTCTGATACCTGCTAGATAGGCTGTGTGGATCCCACAGTGGTTCTGAATGTGGGGATGAAATGAGACACCTTAGTCTGTCTAAAGATATGTGATGGTGTATTATGAAACTGTCACACATATTGGACATTCTCCATCATCTTGTTTTGGTTAAAGAAGCGTTCTGGGAGGTGGCTTTGCTTTTGTCACGAGGAGACTGATTATTGCCATCTTGTTCTAAGATTTAGAATGTGTAGGGCTTCTGTCCATACCCCTCGTGTAATTTTTAAACTCAAGAGGTAACTCTGTCCTTATTTTCAAGAGCGGTTAACTTTTCTGCATCCTTATTAGCAATGAAACTGCAGGATCTGAGGTTCTCAAAGCAGTGGTTATGCCATGTAGTCCACTGAAAGTCAACCAATGTTTCAGATGAACACATTGCCATCATCTTCAGGTTAAAAAAAAAACAGCGTGAAAGCAAGTGGCATACAAAGAAATACACCAATGTGTGTGTAATGTATTGCTACAGGATTACAGGTATCCAACAAGAATGAAGTAAAATCATAAAGACGCATTTGGTGCTGTCAAAACCAGCAAGATATATTCAGAACATTACTGTCAAAGACCTTAATTTGTGTAACTCTGTTTTTGAGGATATGCAGAACTCATACATTAACCATCAACATTCTACATGGCTCATTTCTGAAACCCGAAGTCATACATTAATATGAACCCTACTGAAAATGTTTCAAATAAAGTTACAGATCACAGAGATTTATATTTTGTTATGTACGTTATGTTATGGTTCAAGAAGCCAAAGAGAAGACTTTACACATGGAAGGCACCTGGGGAATGGAGGCGGCATCAGCTGGACTACGTCCTTGTGAAACAGCGATTCAGAAACAGTGTGAAGGATGTGAAGACATTGCCTGGGACAGATACTGACTCTGACCACAACTTACTGGTTGCCAAGTTTCGAACCAGGTTGAAGAAAATTATAAGATTCCAAAAGCGCAGACCTAGATGGGATTTGGAGAAGTTATATGCTCAAAGACAAAGCGTGCAGGAGACCGTAGAAGAGAAACTCAGTGCAATTGAAAGTGAAAGCGGAAATGCAGTGGAACAATATAAAAGAATGCATGTTAGATACTATTAGTGAATTGGTTGGTAAAGTTGAGACGAGAGCAAGAAAACCATGGGTTACACAGGAGATGATGAGTAAAATGGAGGAGTGAAGGAAATGGAAGAATGTAAACAATGAAGAAGGCAGGAGGAAATACAGGAGACTGAGGAATGAATTGAAACAAGCCACAGACAAGGCCAAAAAGGAATATCTTGAGAAGATATGTAATGAGATTATAGAATTTCAAAGGACAGGATGTTATGATTTGATTTACACGAAGACAAAAGAACT